GGCCTGTGTTGCTATAATTTACCCTCTCAAGTCTGCCTTTACTATGTCCCACAGGTTTTGGATTGTTGTGTATTCATTTTTAGTTGTTTCCAGATACTTTCTTAATTTTCTTTGAGCTCATTACCCATTAATTATTTAATAACATGTCATTCAGTCTCCATGTGTTTGACTGTTTTTGAGTTTTTTCCTTGAAGTTGGTTTCTAGTTTCAAGCCATTGCGATCCAAGAAGGTGCTTGATATGATTTTAATTTTCTTGATTATTTTAAGGTTTGTTTTGTGCCCTACCATGCGTTCTATCTTTGAAAAATTTCCATGTGCATTTGAAAAGAATGTGTGTTTTCCTTCTTTGTGGTAAAAGTTTCTGTATATATCAATTAAGTCCACTTGATCTAGAGTGTTGTTCAATGCCAAAGTATCCTTATTGATTCTTTGTTTGGAAGATCGATCCATTGTTGACAGTAGGATGTTTAAATCCCCTATAATGACTGTACTGCTGCCAATCTCCTTGTAAAGTCCTCCAAGATTTTCTTTATGTATTTATGTACTCTTATTTTGGGTGCATATATGTTTACAAGAGTTATATCCTCTTATTTGACCGCTCCTTTAAGTATTACGAAGTGTCCTTCTGTATTTCTTTTTATGGCTTTTGTTTGAAAGTATATTTTGTCTGATATAAGTATTGCTATCCTAGCCTTTTTTTCACATGTCCATTTGCTTGGAATATTTTTTCCATCCATTCACTTTTTGCCTATGTAGATATTTTGTTCTGATGTGGGTCTCTTGTAAACAGCATATATATGGATCTTGTTTTCTTATACACTAAGCTACCTTATGCTTTTTGATTGGAGCAATTGATCCATTTGCATTTGTTTACTATTGATAAGTACTTGTTCATTACCATTTATTCCTTTTTACCTGTGTCCTTCTATCTCTCTCTTTCTTCTTCTTCTTCCTAAAGGACTCCCATTATTACCTCTTACAGTGCTGACCTGGTGAACATGTACTATTCAACTTCTTTTTTCTGGGAAGCTCTTTATTTCACCTTCCATTTTAATTGAGAGCCTTGCTGGATAGAGTAGTCTTGGTTGCATGTCCTTTCATTTCATTAATTGGAATATTTCATGTGAGTCCATTCTGGGTTGTAGTTTTTTCTGTTTGGAAATCAGATGATAGCTTTATCAGAGCTCCCTGGTATGATACTAGCTGTTTCTCCCTTGCTGCCTTGAATATTCTCTCTTTATCTTTAAAATTTGCCTTTTTAATTATGATGTGTCTTGGAGTGGGCCTCTTTGGGTTCATCTTGATGGGGACCCTCTGTACTTCCTGAACTTGCATGAGGTTTTCCCTCTCAAAGTTAGGTATTTTTTTCTCATTATTTTTTTCAAATGGGTTTTCTATCCCTTGCTGTTTTTCTTCTTCTTCTGATATTCCTATGATGTGAATGTTGTTATGTTTCATGTTTTCCTGAAGCTCCCTTAAACTATCCTCATTCTTTTTTAGTCTTTTTTTTTCATTTTGTTGTTCTGACTGGATGTATTTTTCTACCTGTATTCCAGCTCACAGCTTCAGTCCTCTGCTCGATCTACCCTGCTTTTAATTCCTTCTCATGTATTCTTCATTTCTGATATTGCATACTTCATTTCCTCCTGGTTCTTTGTCATAGTTTCTGTGTCATTTTTCATGCTGTTGTATTCCCACTAAGTTCCTTGTAGCTCCTATAAAGTTCCTTGTAGATCTCATTGAGTTCCTTGATCATTTTTAGAATCTTTTATTTTTATTTTTTTATTTTTTTATTTATTTTTTCAAATACATTTGTCTCTGCCTACACCCCCACTTTCCTTTGCCCCCTCCTTCCTTCCCTCCCTCAGCTCTTCCCCTTTGGTTTTGTCCATGAGTCCTTGCTATATGTTACTTGACTTTCCCCTTCCCTTCCTTTTTAGAATCTTTATGTTGAATTATATGTCTGATAGATTGCTTGCCTCAAATTCACTTAGCTCTTTTTCTGGGGATTCCTCCCTTCCTTTCAATTGGGGTTTGTTTCTTTGTCTCCCCATTTTAGGTAATTTTCTGTTTGTTTCTGAATTTCAGATTCACCTGTTTTGACTGCCTGTCTTCATGGGGTGACCTCTGTGGTAGGAGTCCTGTGGGACTCAGTGGTGCTGTCTCTTTGATCCCCTGATCTGCATGCTCTAGGAATGCCTTTTATTCAGTTTATATGGGGTCTCTTGTTGTACTTGGGCCTTGATAATTGACATCTCATTCATTGGTAGGTTCTCCCCCCTGGCTGGCTGACGGGGAGTCACCGCACCCACCACTTCTTGTATGCTGTTATACAGGTGCTGGCAGAACAGAGTAAAAGTACCTAGAAAACCAAACCCATGTCATCAAAAATGTCCTCTTACCATATGAGAAATATCAACAGCAACTGAGCAAGGACTAATAAAGGTGGAAAGACATTTGGAATATTACTAGATAGGGAAAAATATGAAATGGCTAAATAAGAGAACAATTATTTTGAGATGATAGAGGGAGGGAAAATAATAAGAGTGGGGGATAGAAACAAGGTGAAGAAAGGGAAAAAATAGAATTTAAAACATAAGTAAAAAGAAAGCATGGTGGCAAAATGGAGTAAGAAAAGGCAAGGGTATAATATAAGATCTGAAATAAAATTGAAAAAATAGTGAACCAATCATATCAAGATTGAAGAAAAACTACAACAGACTCAGTAACAACAGATGAACAAAGATTAATAAAGGTGGAAAGATAATAAGTATATTAACAGAAAGAGAATATGAGATGTCTACATTTAAGAAAAATGATTTTCAGAGGATAGAGGAGGGAGAAATAATAAGAGGAAGGAATGGAATCCAGGGTAAGATTGTGAAAAAAGAAAATTCCAACCTCAAATAAGCAAGGGTAGCAGGAAGTCAAAATATAGTAAGACAGGGGGAGATACCTATGAGATTTGAAAAAAAAAATAAATAGGAACAAAATTGAAGAAAAACAACAATAACCACAATATCCACACCAAACAAATAATGATTAATAAAGATGGAAAGAAGGAATGTTATACAGAAGAAAAAAGAATGTGAGCTAACTAAAGGAAAGAGAAATGATTTTGAGAGGTTAGGAGGAGGAGAAATAGTAAGAGTAAGGAATAGGAACAAGGTGTAGAAAGAGGGAAAATAAAATTTAAAACAAAAATAACAAAGGAAGAATGAAAAATGGAGTAAAACAGGAGAAGTGCACAATGTGAGATTGGAAATAAAAATAAAATTAAAAAAATGTAAAACCCTAAATGAAAAGAATAGAAAAGATAATAATAATGAATTATTTGGAATACAACTGAAGAAAAAAAATGTTGAAATGCTACGTCAGAGAAAAAAAATGATGTGAATTATGGAGCATAATGAGGTGGGATTCACCTCAGCAGAGTTGGTGTTTGCCTTCTGTCTTCTCCTTCTGGATCAACCTCTGGCTTTTTATCAGTTCAAGGTCCAGGGGTGGGTCATCCAACTTCTAGCACCACCATGTGTATCATCTTCACCTGTCTCTAGAGGGGGTTTCTATTGCAATTGGAAGGTGGGACCCCTGGGTTTCCCCTGGGAGGTGCTGTTCAGTCTTCTGGGAAAATTGTTTATTGTTCCCACTAGCCCTGTGCCACCCATCTTGGTCTGTCCCAGATTATTTCCAATAATGTAGTTTCTGATTAACTAGTTTTCCATTTCAAGGGAGGGGCCAATCTGTGTAAGAGGGTCAGCTCTCTCCTTCTTGGTGCTGACGGCAGCTCTGTGTGAGAGCTAAGGCTGGGTGGGGTCCTGATTCCCCCCTTGCTGAACCAATTTCTGATTTTTCTGCCTGCTGGTCTCAAAGCAATAAGAGCTCTGTGGAAAAGGTGTTAGAGGTGGGAAGGATGTCCAACTTGAGAGAAAGGGAACTGGAGAAAAAGTATCTAAGAGGAAGCAACTATGTACACAGAAATAGAGGAAAATCATAGCATGTGAGGAGAGGACAGTGGGGGTGGAGGTACAATTCATGGAGGAGGTGGACAAAAGATACAGAGACTGGGAATGTAAGTTAAACTGCCTGGTGTGAGTATTAGGGGAAGTGGGAGGAAAGTAAGTGGAGCTTGAACTACACTGCTACAGAGCTTGGATTTTATCCTGTGGGCAACACAGAATTACTGAAGTTTCTTGAAGAAGGATATGTTATGATCAGAGCTGTGCATTAGAAAGATTAAACCATTGTAGAAGGTTATAAGGAGAAGAGAAAGGTCTAATTACTAAGTTGATTGTATAGTCCAGGTAATACATAACTTGGGTTAGAACCAAGGGACAATTGTGGAATATAAAGGAGGGGGTAAGTTCAAGAGAAATTTCAGGAGGAAGCAAGAATGAAGATTTGAAAATCTACAACACCTGCTCTGCTTAGGATATGTCACAGCTCAGCATCCAATGATCTCCACAATCTGTCCCAGCTACTTTCTTTAGATTTATTTTTCACTGGGCATGTCATATGCCTAATTCTCCAAGTTGTATTGGGTTGCATTCCTTTATGAAAGTACATCTTGCACCTTTCCACTTGCTTCCCTTATATCCACATATAAAATCCTACCCACCCTTAAAAGTTTATTTCACCCGAGTTGCCAGTTGGATTACCAGTTAGGGCACATGCCTGGGTTGAGAGCCAGGTCCCCAGTAGACCACACATTGATGTTTCTCTCCCTCTCTTTCTCCTTCCCTTCTCTCTTAAAATTAAATAAATAAATGCCCCCCAAAAGTTCAATTCAAATGTAATCTCTTTCACCAATCTTTCCTAATTTTTTTTCCTACTAGGATTGACTCCCTCCCCTATTCTCCCACAACATTTAATTTTTACCTCTAGCCTAGCATTTCTCTCACTTCATACATACATTTTACAGTATTTTATTAGCCACAAAATAAAGTCCAAAACCTTACAATGAAATCCAAGGCCTCTAACAAAAAATTAATAATTTAAGTGATCATTACCAAGGCATTTGCCGTGGACATGACCACAAAATATTTATGCACCAGGTTTTCTTTCTGCAACATTGCTAGCATTCAGCCTATTGTGAACATTTTAAAAAAGAATTCATCATTTGGTCATTGATTATCTTTTAATTCATTCAACAAATATTTGCATACTTAATATACACCAGTCACTTTGCTGGATCCTGCAGATAAAACAGGGAAGAAGACAGATTTAGTACTTATTCTTATGGAACATACATTCTACTAGAAGAGGATGACAAAAACAAACAAGTAAATAAATTGATAAGAGTTGTACTCAGTGATGTGCAGGACAAGCACAAGGGGCTGATATGAAGAATAATGCAAATCAGGAAGGGGAAAGTTCTTTTTAATTTTATTTATTTTTAGAAAGAGGTGAAGAGAAGGAGAAAGAGAGAGAAAGAAACATCAATGTGTGGTTGCCTATCATACACCCATGACCTGACTGGGAATCGAACCATGGCCCTTTGGTTCGCAGGCCAGTGCTCAATCCACTGAGCCACACCAGCCAGGTTGGAAAGTTCTATTTTAAATAAGGTGGTCAACAAAGGCCTCACTGAGAACATGTATTTATGGTCAGGTGTAATGGACAGGAAGGAAGTAGTCTTGTGAGAAGTGTGAAGAATGCCATTCCAGGCAAAGAGAAAAGGGGCTATGCAAAGGCACTGAGATAGGAAAAGCTTTCTTATAGCCAAAGAACTAAAATAATACTAAAGTGGAGTTGAGCACAGTGAATGAGGAGAAGAATGGTATGAGGAGAGGCTGAATAGCTTTAGGTTGTGTGGGACATGGTAAAGCCTATAGCTTTTTATTCAAGTTTAGTGGGGATCCACTTAAGAATGATAAGCAGTAGAGTAATACAATTTAACTTACATTTACAAATAATTATTTTTTCCTTCTCATTGGGTAGTGTTGGAACAGTAACGGTTAAATGGGGTCTAGGTTGACAGCTATTGCAGTAATCTAAGCAAAAAATAGTGTTTGCTTGACCTAAGGAAATGTCAATGTATATAAAGAAAAGAGGGACAATTCAGTGGATAGTTTGGAGATAACATTGTCAGGAAGTACTGAAAAATTGGATGTGGGAGAAGAAAAGTTTTCAAGGGTGATAATTAAGCTTCTGATAGCAGAAATTAAGTAGGGCTTTTTCCTAAAATGCAGGCTACTCATGTAGGAAGTAGGTTTGGAGAAGAGCAATAGAGTTCAATTTTGCTCATCTTTATTTTGAGATACACATTACACAACAAATTAAAATGTCAGTTTGTCAAAGGGCTTTGAATCAGGGTCTTAGTGAAACAGAATGAACTGGAGTAAGTTATTACATAATCAACATAAAATAATTGTAATTAAAGCCATGGTATTAAATGAGATTTACATAGAGAATACAGAGAGAGAAGAGAAAGAGGAGCAAGTAGCCCTGAAGAATTCCAACTTTTATCTTTTAATTTATTTTATTGTATTTTTCCATTACCATTTATCCCTCTTATATGCACTCCCCAGCAATCACCACACTGTGTTACAGAATGGACCTGTTGAAGGGCCCAGATACCGTTACTGAAACAAGCCCCCTCCCCCAGGGTCTTTCTGTACTATGGTTCTTTGCCTGCTGCCCTTAGGAATTATAGCTCTCAGTGACAAAGTCTGGTGAAAAGGAAAGGAACTATTTATTCAAAAGTTATACAGGTTTAGAGTAATGGTGGAAGGTCACCGTTAAATATTAAAGTCCCTTTAAAACACCCACCAGCACACACAGTCCTTCCTTCCCTCCTTTGCCCAGTCATATTAGTCAGGCAAGTCACGGGTACCTTATCTCATGAAAAGAAATAGAAGACCATAGCTCAGCTAGACTCCCAGTTCCTTCCGGTAATCCGCACTCAGTAATCCAATAATTACTTCCAGTAATTCATGGGAAGGCCTCCCGCGGCTCCCAGCACCATCAGTTGTGTTGTTGGGTGATCTCCAGTTCTTAATCCAAAACCACATGACACCCCCTCATGGCCCACCAGCAAGAGTCCTTTCACCCCTTTCCTTCCTGCACAGTTTCACATTGTTCCCTTGTGTCCATGGTTTCAAACCACTAAGAGAGAACTCTGCATGGCTGCTACATCTTTCTTTCCTGGTTCCTAAGAGGTGTGGTCAAGGGAGCCCCCTCTCCACTCCCAAAACCACGTGGTTACACTCCAGCATGGCTGCTGTACCTGGGTTTAAATCTTGGCGTGAATCTTCCTCTGTAACTCCATTTCTGACTCCTCCCACAATTGGCCACACCTGCTTGCACTCCTGTATTTCCTTCCTTTCTTAGCTGCCATAGTTATTTTGGGCAGGTGTGGCCCCGTGGCGTGGAGCGAACCATCTCCAAGCTCTTGTGCAGGCACTGTAACCAGGAGGAGCTGCCTCCCAGTCATATCACGGGTCAAAGTCACTCCCATCTCCCTGGCTAGACTTGTTGATATGGAAAATAACAATTGAAGCTATCCTGCTGTTATTCGTATGCAAAATAACTCTCAAGGGCCCTGCTCCATGAGAAAAACCATATGGTCCAGCAATCCCACTTCTGGGTATATATCTGATGGGAAAGAAGTCAATATCTCAAAGAGATATCTGTACCACAATTTTCATTACAACATTATTCGCAATAGCCAAGATAGGTTAACAGACAAACTGCTTGTCAAGAGATGAATAGATAAAGAAAATGCCACACACACACACACACACACACACACACACACACACACACACACACTTTTGAATAGTATTCGGCTAACAAAAGGAGGAAATCCTACCATTTACAACAACATGGATGAGCCTTGAGGGCATTATGTTAAGAGAACTAAGTCAGAGAAAGGCCAATACTATGTGATCTCACTTATAGGTGGAGTCTAAAAAAACCATGAAATCATGAACAGTGTATGCTGGTTGCAGAGGGTGGTTGGGTTGGGAGAAGTGGGGAGAGGTTATTCACAAGGTACACATACTCAACTGTATGCACACTCATGAATGGTAACTATGTGAGTTGATAGAGGGGTTAACTGCCATTGTGTTAACCATTTCACAATATTTACATATATAAAATCACATTTACTCTCTAAACTGAGACATTGTATGTCAATTGTATCTCAGTAAAGCTAGAAGAAAAAAATTCACTCGTTACCCCTTAAACACCCCCCAAACCATTGCTATCCTTAACACCCAAGAATCACTAATTTGTTTTTGTACTTATAACTATGCTATTTCACAAATGTTACATTAATGGAATCATGAAATATGCATATTTTTGAGATTAGATGTTTTTTCACTCAGCAAAATTTTCTTGAGTTTTATCCAAGTTGTATGCATTAGTAGTTTATTCTGTTATTGCTGAGCAGTATTATATGGAATAGATGTGCCACAGTTTATTCATCCATCGGAAAACATCTGGATAGTTCACAATTTTTAGCTATGACTAAGAAAGTTACTCTGAAAATTTATATACAAGTTTCTTTATCCTGATTCATTTTTGTAACCGCATAAACCTTCATTGTGTGGATTTCTTATATATATTCATATAAGTTATTTCCAAACTTTTGACATTATAAACAATAGTGCAATGAATAATTTGTGAATATGTATTTTTATGTTATTGAAGGTGTATCTTCAGAGTACATTCCTAGAAGTAGGAATATTGGGTCAAAGAATAAATATGTATTTAGATTTTAAGCTATTTCAGTAATGTACTGTGGGTGGTTCATACTGGCTCTTCTGTATAGATAAAGAAAACATCAGGAAAATGAAAAGGGAACCAACTGTATGGGAAAAAAGTATTTTCCAATGAAACCCTGGATAAGGGTTTGATCTCCAAAATATGTAAAGAACTCATATGACTCTACACCATGAAGACAAAAAATCCAATTAAAAAATGGGTAAAGGATTTGAACAGACACTTCTCCAAGGAGGACATACACAGGGCCCAGAGACATGTGAAAGGATGCTCAGCATCACTAACCATCAGAGAGATGCAAATTAAAACCACAATGAGATACCACTTCACACCAATCAGAATAACCATCATAAACAAACCAGAAAGGAGTCTTGGCAAGGTTATATAGAAAAGGGAACCCGAGTGTACTGTTAGTGGGAGTATAGACTGGTACAGCTGCTGTGGAAGACAGAATGGAATTTCTTCAAAAAACTAATAATGGAACTGCCTTTTGACCCAGGAATTATATTCTTAGGAATATACCCTAAAAATCGAGAAACACCAATTCAAAAGAACCTATGCACCCCAATATTCAGAGAAGCATTATTTATGATAGCCAAGTGCTGGAAGCAGCCTAAGTGCCCATCAGTAAATGAGTGGATCAAAAAACCTGAGGTATATTTACAAAATGGAATACTATGCAGCAAAAAGAAAGAAGAAACTCCTACCCTTCATGACAGTGTGAATGGAACTGGAGAGCGTTATGCCAAGTGAAATAATCCAGATGGTGAAAGACAAATCTCATCTATAAGTGGAACTTAATCAACAAAACAAAGAAGTGAGTGAAATAATACCAGAAAGATGAAAATAAAGAACAAACTGACAGTGACCAGAGGGAAGGGAGGGGAGTAACAGGGAAAAGAAGGGGAAAGGTCAAGTCAAGGAACATGTATAAAATACCTTGGATAAAGACAATGCAGGGGAGGATTGAATGTGGGTGGTGAGGGTGGGTAGGGCAGGGGAGAGTAATGCAGAGAAAATGGGGACAACTGTAACCAAACAATAAAAAAAAAAAAGTTGTTACATTTTCAGGAATTTTGTGAACTAATTGTAAAATACGGATACTAGTAAAAATTTGATCATATACTTACCATTAAAATAATATTTTAAGTACAAAAATCCATCACTTCCTAATTCTTTTTAACTACCATTTACTATTAGCTAAGTTCTTTAAGTTATATATGTGAACTGTAACTATATGGTGGGAAAAGTATACAGGGTGGGGTAAAAGTAGTTTTATACTTGTTTGTATAAAATAATGCAATAATTAATAAATAATAATACAATAATAAACTATGGATGAAACTATGGACTGTTTCACATACTCACAACTGT